GTTTTTCTAACCCTAACCCTACCCTGGTGCACACCCCTAACCCTAACAGAGGGGTAAAGTTCCATTGAAAATAATGGGATTCTGAAAAAGCCTTCTCCGGGTAGGTTTTTCTGCACAGCTCATCATTTCTGCCCCTTCTACATACATTCCAACCATCCAAACCGTGCCAGGACACCTCGTTTTTCTAACTCTAACCCTACCCTGGTGCACACCCTTAACCCTAATAGAGGGGTAAAGTTCCATTGAAAATGATGGGATTTTGAAAAAGCCTTCCTTGAGCAGCTTTTTCTGTGCAGCTCATCATTTCTGCCCCTTCTAAATACATTCCAACCATCCAAACCGTGCCAGGACGCCTCGTTTTTCTAACCCTAACCCTACCCTGGTGCACACCCCTAACCCTAACAGAGGGGTAAAGTTCCATTGAAAATAATGGGATTCTGAAAAAGCCTTCTCCGGGTAGGTTTTTCTGCACAGCTCATCATTTCTAGCCCTTCTAAACACATTCCAACCCTCAAAACCAGGCCAGGACGCCTCGTTTTTCTAACCCTAACCCTACCCCTGTGCACTCCCCTAACCCTAACAGAGGGGTAAAGTTCCATTGAAAATAATGGGATTTTGAAAAAGCCTTCCTTGAGCAGCTTTTTCTGCGCAGCTCATCATTTCTAGCCCTTCTAAATACATTCCAACCCTCAAAACCAGGCCAGGGCACCTCGTTTTTCTAACCCTAACCCTACCCTGGTGCACACCCCTAACCCTAACAGAGGGGTAAAGTTCCATTGAAAATAATAGGATTCTGAAAAAGCCTTCCTTGAGCAGCTTTTTCTGCACTGCTCATCATTTCTGCCCCTTCTAAACACGTTCCAACCATCCAAACCGTGCCAGGACGCCTCGTTTTTCTAACCCTAACCCTATCCTAGTGCACACCCTAACCCTAACAGAGGGGTAAAGTTCCATTGAAAATAATGGGATTTCGAAAAAGCCTTCCTGGAGGAGCGATTTCTGCACAGCTCATCATCTCTGCCCCTTCTAAACACACTCCAACCATCCAAACTGTGCCAGGACACCTCGTTTTTCCAGCCCTAACCCAGCGTTGGCGGACCTTTTGGAGACCAAGTGCCCAAACTGCAACCCAAACCCCAGTTATTTATCACAAAGTGCAAACACTGCAATAAAACCTGAAAACTGAGGTTTCTGTTTCGCAAAAACAACTCACAGCCAGCCACGCAAATATATTATATCTGTGGCAGCGCATTGGCCGGCCCTGTGAAAGCTCAGACAAGTCCCATCTAATGAGTCGGGGCTCGTGATGTCATCGCCTGGCGCCACTACTCCTTTCCGAGCGTGCGCATGGCCCCCGTGTGCGCTGTTATCCGATGCTCGGCTGCTGGGGCGATGCTGGGGCGACTCGGCTCGCGTGCCAACGGAAAGGGCTGTGGGTGCCCGCTGTGGCACGTTTGCCGTGGGCTCGCCACCACTGCCCCAACCTCTCTCCGGGTTTGCTCTGGTCCACGTGGCCCATCGAGGTCAGTGGCAGAGTGTCCGTGGAGGCCACAACGGTCCCCCAGCACCAGGGGAGGCTATTTTCACAGCGCAGCTGGTGCGCATGCCTCTTCCAGGGAACGCCAGCAGAAGGTGGCCCGTCCCTGGCGGGGCGGTGAGCACATGGCGGCGCTCCCAGTGTGGGGAGCGGCAGCATGAGGGCCTGGATACACCAGCAGAGCCATGCAGGATCAGGCCGGAGGCCCATCTGGCCTCGCATGCGCCCTCTTCCCCCCACAGACGTCATTCATCGTGAAGTGCGGCCACCCGCGCTTTCCTGGCACGGGGCTGGCTGTTCTCCAGCCCTCTGGCTCGCAGGCTGATCTCCGGGGCGTGTTGTGCAGTGGCCAGAAGGCTATTTGTGCCCCCGAGGCGCTCCAGAAAGGCTACGCCGGAATTTCCCAGCACTCAGGGTCCCCCCTCGAAAACGGAGGCCTGGAGGCTGGCGCCCCCCCGCCCCCCACGAGGGCGGCTGCGGCTGGCTGAAACTCAACACCCCGCGAGGAACTGGGGATGCGCCGACACTTCCTCTCTGGCACAGGCCCAGGCGCTGTGGAAGGCGGCCAGAGGGCGGACTCAGGCTGCATCCTGTGGACGCGCAGGGCGAGCAGGGCCGTGCTGCCTGGGGGGGACGTGCTCGAGGAGGGGTGGGCTCAGGGTCCGCGCCGCTCTGTTCCCCCCCCGGCAGCGCCGGCCAGCGTGCTGGCCGGCCCCGCAACAAGCCCAGGCGAACTGCGGGATCCGTGCCGGGCCAGCTGAGGCGAGGCCCCCGGGGGGCCGCCTGGAGGGGCACGGGCCGCCCCACATTCCGCCAGGGCCACACCGAGGGGCTGCACCGCCCGCCGGCCTCACGTTCTGCCCGGAGCAGAGGCTCTAGAGCTGCCCTCGGCCCTCGGGTGGAGCCCCCTGACGCCGCGTGGAGCATCTTCCAGATGGAATCTGGCAACCCCCCTGCAGGCCCCCCGCCCCACCCTCTCCCTCGGCCGCCCCTCCTCGCTTGTAAAACCGGAGCCAGAATCTGCAACGTTTCTGCACAATCCATTCTAAGCACACCGTGACATGTTTTCCTTGGCAACGAGCGAGGCGCGCACGCAGATTTGCTGGTTCTCGGTGCAGGCCGCACCGCGAACCAGGGCGACATGCAGAGGGCCGGGACGCATTCCGCCCCGGCCCCTTCTGCCACGGCTGCCTCGGTCTCCCGGGCAGGTCTGCAGCGGCAGGGCTTGGGAGCAAGTGGCCCAGGCCCTCTTCCACCTCTGTCTCCGACTATCCCAAGCCCCTAGTCCTCAGTGAGAAGGCAAGAGCCCACGCTGCTGCACTCCGAAGCACCTCTCCCCGCCCGCCCTTTCCAGCCGCGGCTCACCTGTTCTCCAGGTCGGGCATGCTCAGGTTCCTCGCTACGTAGCACATCTTCAGGGGGATCACCTTGCGGTCCTTGGCGGGCCCAAGGTGCTTCGGGGAGCCGGAGTCCTCGCTGCCGCTGAGGTTGGGCGACTGCGGCGCTGCGCCATCCCAGGGCAGGTCCGACACCAGGGAGGGCTTCCTGATGTACGGGGTCGCTTCTCGCATGTACTTCACTGCGGAGCCCAAGCAGACGGGGGAGGCGTCAGCTGCGTGGGAGCAGAGGGTGCCCTCCTGCACCCCCCTGGGCTCGCCGCCTGCGCCGCCAGCATCACCGGCAGGCACCCACTGCAGGGGTAATGCCAGGCCACCCGGCCCCTCGGCCACCCTCCCCCATCGGTGCTTGGCGGGGCCACTGGCCACCAGAGGAACCACTTCCGGAGGCTGATCTGCCCACAGGCTGCTCGGCAGCCCAGGCACAAGCAGGAGATGTGTTTATTCCACAGGAAAAGGTGCATCGGGGGAAAGGGTTGAGTCACCGGAAAACCTTCTTCCAGCTGGCAGCAGGGAAGGGGCGGGAAAGGCTGAGGACGCCCGAGGCCCTCCGCTGCCGCAGCCAGGAAGCTCCGCGCTGGCCTGACCGAGACCTGCGTGCCTGAGCAGGGCCGGGTGAGAGCTTGGGGAATCCACGCCTGGAGGAGGAGGAGGAGGATGGGGTCATGGTGGGGGGGCTTGGGCCGCCGGGCAGGCGTTTCCCGGTCATTCCCGTTTCATGCTCGTCATCCTCCGGAGCAGCGCCAGGCAGCTCACGGCTCTCCAGACGCTGGGCCAGCGCTATCCCCTCACGACGGGCTCCACCACCGAACACTGAAGAGCTGCGGGCAGAACCTCGGGACGGGGACGGGAGTCCTGCCCGCCCTTCCCTTGGCTTTACGCACGCTTTGCTCAGCGGGAGCTGGAAACAGGGCCGGGGGGAACACCTGTGGGGTCAAGGGAGCTGCGGCCGCAGAACCCAGTCATGTCCCTGCCGGGCCACGCAGCACACAGGGGCCTGGAGAGCGCCAGGGGGCTTTTGGGCTGTCCCCCCCCGGCAAGCATGGGTCACGAAGGGCGCTTCCCCCTTTCCCACGCCATGCGCCGCTCCGCCAGGTGAACATGCTGCATCAGGCACTTTCCGAGAAGGCAGGGAAAGTTGCGCTTCCACTCCGGAAAGCCACAGGCAGGTTCAGAGCAGGCCGTGAGTCATCTCTCGGGAGGAAGCGCCGCGCGTCCGAGGGACGGCTTGTTTGGATCTGCTGGCCTGCCAGAAGGGGAGGTGGGGAGCAGAGCCCGTGCCCGGGCGGACCTCTCTGGGTCTCACCTCCTGCCTGTGCCGTGCCGTGCCGTGCCCGGGAGCCAGCTCAGGAAGGCAGCCCGGCTCCTCGGCTCGCCCATCCCTCCACCCCCAGCTAGCAGGAGGGCACGGGGTAGAAGAGGCCGGCCGGCCCCACAGAGCAGGCACTGGCCGCCAGCAGCCCTTCCAGCAAGATGGAATCGACATGCCTGCCCCACCGGCAGCTGCTGCAACAGCCAGACGGGGCAGGGGCTCCCCTCGCACGGGGCTGCAGAACCTCTTCCAGCCCGGGGGCCACGTTCCGCCTCAGAGGAGCTCTCGGGGGCCACGTGCCAGCAGTGGGTGCGGCCAAAGGCAGGGGATAAAGCCAATGCGCAAGGAGTGGGGCCGGGACGCAAGAAATACCTGAAATTCCACCTTCTTACAACTCTCACTGCCAGAAACTAAGCCTCGGGAGAGACATTTCAAGCTTTTAGAACAGAGCAAAACCCACAAGAAAGCCAGGAAACCGCAAGGAGATCAGCAGCTGGGGAGGGGCGCAGCCGTCCCACGTCCCTGGGCCAGACCCTGTGCCAGTGGCTTCCTTCCGGGGGGCCAGGCCCGATTCCGGAGAAACCTTCTCGAGGCGCATCTCTTTGGCAGTGCCGAAGGAAAGAGGGAAGGGCACCCCCCCCCCGTGTTTAACTTGACAGCTCTTGTTGCTCGAGGCAAACACTCAGGAAAGACCCTTGGCCTTGCGGGGGGGGGGGCAGCCAGGAAACCACCCAACAACTGCCCTGGCCTGCCCCCCCCCCGCCATCTCTCCCACTGAAGAAGCTCCGAACCACCTCCCTCTGACTGCGGGGGCTGGACTCCAGGGCGACCCACCCAGGACTTTCCTCCAAGCCAAGCACCTTCCCCAGCAAAGCCGGTGGCACCGCCCCCCCCCCCGCCGAGCTGCCGGGCGGGTCTCCCACCACAGCCACAAGCCCCTCCGTGCGGCTCCCCCGAAACCACCAAGTCTCTATTTATGACACAAGGCGCTTCCTGTCCCTGCCCAGCCTCGGCCGAGGCTCTGCTTTTCCAGTGCAGGAAGGCGGCGCCGTGCCAGGGCTGCCTGCTCTGGAGGGAAGGGCCCCTCCTGGGCCGCGGAGGGGGGCTCCCGCCACTTGCTCGCAGCCCCCCAAGGCCGGGAGGCACGCCTGCCACCCTCTCAGCTCCGGGCCGTTTGTCTGCGGCAGCTGGGAAGCCCCTTCCAGATGGGCAGGCCGGCGGCACTGCTGGCCCGGAGGCAGGGGGGCGCTGCCCCAGATCGCCTGGGTTTGCAGTGCATCCCAACGGGGCCGGTTGCTTTGGTGCGGGAAGGTCCCCGGCCACGGGGCCGGCCGCCAGCGCTTGCTCTCCTGGCCACTGCGCGGGCAAATCAGCTGCCCCAGGAAGGATGGGGGAGAAGAGAGGGTGCTCCGCTGGCAGGGGGGCCCAGTGTCCCACGTGTGGGGCGTGTGCGGGACAATGGCAGGCTGGGAGCAACATCCGACCCCCCCCCCACAAGCTCCGCTCGGCCACCTCCGGTTCCAATCCGGCCAGAGGAAGTGCCATCTCCTCTTTCCTCTGCCAACGGAAAGTGATCCCGAGAGACACGCCGGGCGCGCCTGGGATCAGCTTGCAGCCTGGCAGCGCGAGGTGACCCCACATGCCCTGCACAAGGACCGTGCGGAGGCCTCATGCCGGGGCAGACCCTTCACCCGCCCGGCTCCGCAGGGTCCCGCCTGCCCGGAGAGCCCTCCCGGCCACGGCGCGGGGCGCTCACCAGATCCCACGCCAGGCAGTCCCTTCAGTGGGAAGCTTTTAAGCCAGGGCCACTCGGCCAGCCTGACCACGAGCGCTCAGGCCCGAGCCCCAGGACACGGGCGGCCGCTGCCCGGCCAGCCAACCCTGTGCCCCAAGGTGCGTCTTCCCGCCCAGGGCCAGGCCAGGGCCGGCTGCACCATAATTCAGCGGGGAGACGGCAGCCGCAGCCGCAGCGCTGCCAGCCTGGCCCAGGGTTCTTTCAGGCAAGGGCCACTCAGAGCCACCGCAAACGCCTCCTGCCCCCTGGACACTCTCCCGCGGCGGCTCATGAACGCCCCACTGAGCAGATGCCCGGCATGCCGCGCTCTTTCCATCCCCGCCGTGGCACAATAGACAATGCGGCAGCCGGCGGAAAACAGGCCGCGGTCACACTCAGGCCGGGGAGGCAGAATCACAGGCTTTGTTCCGTGCAGGGGCCTTGGCGGGAGCCCAGGCGTTCCTGCTGGCTCGGCAGCCCGGAGGCCGGGAGCGCTCGCAGCCGCCCCCACTGCCCCCCGCTGGAGGGCACCCCCCGGCCCATTCGGCGCCCAGCCGCTCCTCCCCTCCCCTTCACCCGGGGCCGGCTGGAGGGCAGAGCCCCTGCGCATGCTGAGGGCCGCCTGCGGGGTCGGAACCGCAAGGTTCCTTCCGCCCGCTCTCAACGCACTTGCCAAGTCTGCTGCAGGGCTGGATCGATCCTGAGGGGATCCTGAGGGGTCCAGAACTCCCACCCTTCCGGCATTGCTGAGCTGCCTGCCAGAGCAATGCCTGCCATGTTTTCTTTCAGAAGGGGACCCCGCCAAGCTCCTCCGCAGGCCGGAGGAGGCAAGGCGAGGCCCCCTCACTCAGGGCGCTTGCAAAGGCCACGACCCGCCCTCTGCTGCTCCTCAGAGTCTCGTACAGAGCCAGGCTGTGCCTGTCACACGCCTGTGGGAAGGTCTAACTTTTTGGGCGCTTTCTCCTCTCTTCTCTCATTTACTATTTGCTTGCCAGCGGCTACATCTGACAGCCAAGAAAAGGTCCCCGCCTTGGAGAGCAAGAGAGGGCCCCTGAACAGTGCTCACTACCGGTTGCTTCTGGCATGTTCTGGGAGGCAGGCAACACTGGACGCGAGTCTGCTCCAAGTCCATGTGCCTGAGCTGTGGAAATGGAAACAGGCAGAGAAAGCAGTGCCAGAATTTCCTGGAATCGGGAAAGGGCCTGAGGAAGAGACGTGTGAAGTCAGAGAAGCAGCCAAGGGCCAAGTCCAACAGGCAGCGGGGCCATGGAACAGTCCGGCGGGCTCTGGCCTGGGACCCACGCTCAGCTTCTCCTTCCAAGCACCCGAAGCCACACCTGCTGCCGAGCAGTGTGCAGGCCGTGCTATCAGAAAAGGGGCTCAGAATCGAAAATCCTCCCCACTGCGGACAGGACAGAGCCTCGCCCGGGAGACAAAGCCCCGCATCTCAGCGAGGCCTTCCAAGCCTGGGCTCACAGCAGCTGCGCTTCGCAGTCGGGCTGGGGAGGGGCCCTGGTCAAGCGTCCCAGGACTCTCCCCCTGCGCCGAGGCACCTTGGCCTGCGGGTGCCGAGCGGAGCTGGCAGGGCCGGCTCTTCCAGCCCTGCCCAATTCAGAGCGTGTCGGCTCTGGACGGAGAAAGGGCGGCTGTGCCAAGCAGCGCAGGCAGGCCAGAAGCACGACACGCCCGGCTTTCCCAGCGAACAATACCTGGCTGGCAACTTCTGCCGGGGCCGTTGTGGCAGACGCATTCCCCCCCCCCGCCCCAGCTGCACTGACAGCCGCAGCTCCGGTGCAGTCCCTCACTCCAGCTCTCCATCAGCAGTCCAGGAGGGGACCAACCCCAGGAGGGCCCAGCTGACATATTTAAACATGCCCTGGGCAGCCTCCTGCCAGGAACGCTCCGCTGCTCGTGGCGACCGGCCTGCTGGCCACGTGCTCCTCGCAGTTGCCGAGGCGCTTGGGCAAGAGGCCTGGCAGCCGCCTGCCGGAGGGCTGGGGTGGCCTGCTGCTGCAGGGAAAGGGCCCAGGCCCGGATGGGCCACAGCTCTGACCGACCTCGGCTGCGCTTGCGTTCACCCCTCAGGGCAGAGGCCATGCTCCGGCCTCACCCCGTTTCTGGAGCAGGAGGCGCAGCCGGCCCTCTGCCCTGCCCTGGATAGCCCGCAGCTCTGCAGCAGATCTTGGGGCCCCGGCCGGCAGCAGGCCGAAAGCTGCAAGCGCCCCACGGATGGCGATGAGGGGGAAGGACACCGCCTGAACCCCCGTGCTGACACCAGCATACCGCCAACCCCCCGGCCTCGCGTCCCACCCCCGGAGCCGAACACGGCCACCCCGCACCCGCTGTGCCACACTGGCACCCCAGTCCCGACCGAAGCACGCCGCCTGGCACAAGCCCCATCATCCTCCGCACGCCAGCCCCCGCCCTTCACCCCGCCAAGGCACCACCCCCCCCCCCCCCGCGGCCAAAGCGCCCCGCAGAAGTGGGACTGGGGCTTGTCGCGTCCTCACGGCACTCTTAAAAATACCGCTGTGCCTCCTCAGGGCGGCGGAGGCAGCACCAGAACCAGGCCCACCCGTCACTGGGCTCGGCCGGGGAGGGAAAGCAGGTGGCCCTGTCCCGTTGACGGGGCAGGAGGCAAGCAGCCCTCCACCCAGGGGGCCACGGGGCCGGGCTGGGCGCTTTCCAAACGCTCGCACGGCTGGCCACGCCACCCCAAGGAAAGCGCTCGCCCGCGCCTCCGGGTCTCGGCGGCCAGGGCACCGGGCGCTGCGACAGCCATGGGTGCTGGCTCAAACTTTCACCCACTGTGTTTCCCGAGGGCCTGCACACGGGTCACTGGGCCAGCGGTCAAACGCAGTCAGCTATTCCACGGAGCCGATGCTGCTGGCAGACCTGGCCTGAGGCCAACTTAGAACAAATCCTCTTTTTGAGCACCAGAAATAACGCACAGCAAAACCAACCACTTCAGCCAAGTCTGCGGAACACATGTGCTCTCCAGAAGTTGAAGGACTACACCTCCCATCAACTACAAGCAGCTGGTCACTAATCAGGGACACTCCAGTTGCAATCTGTTGCCAAAAAGTGGGGGGCCCACACGCCTCTCACAAACTTCATTTTCCTTCTTTCTTTTTTAGAGTGTGCAACTTTTGTGAACATCTGGATAAAGACCCGGGAGAGGAATCATTACATCTGTCATTTGCATGCAGAAAGATGTTGTTAAATGCCACTAACTTACAACAGTTTATTACTGATATTTTAGAAGTAAGTATCACTTGGTAATTTGCTTTTGCAAGTGGTGCGCACGGGTCGAATCTGTCGGGTGGCGGCGGCTTCACTGGCCCGGCAGAGGGAATAAAGCGCCTTAGGACACCTGCCCCGGCAGGTTCGCCCGGCTCCGGGGGGCTGGGCCGCCCTCCCAAGCCGGCACCGCTGTTCCCATCTTCCCGCACGCCTCCCCCCGAGGGCGGGCGGTGTGCGGGGGACGCCACGGGACACGCAGCCAGGGGGTCTGCCCCAGCCAGGCTTCAGCGCCGGAGACCACCCACGCACTCCCAGCCCCTCTCCGAGGCGAGCGCGCCTGCGGCGGCCCCGAGCCGGGCTCCGAGGAGGCAGCCCGCGGGGCCGGAGGGTGGTGTGGGCCGGCAGCCTCGCCCCGCCGAAAGGGCTCGGGCCACGGAAGGCAACGGCAGCAGACGACCCCCGAGCTCCGCCGGTGGAAGCCGCCGAGAAGGCGCACCGGGAGGAAGGGGGGCCTCCCCGCGCCGCCGCGCCCCTGCGCGCGTGCAGAGCGCCTACCTTCGAGGACGACCTCCCTGCCGGCCCGCTTGAGCGCCTGCACGGCCTGGTCGTGGGTGGCGTCGCGGAGGTCGATGCCGTTCACGGACAGGATGGCGTCCCCGAGCCGGAGGGCGCCGCAGCGCTCGGCCGCCAGCCCCGGGAAGATGCGCGAGATGAGCACGGGCATGCGGTTTTCGCGGCCGCCCTTGATG